TGCGAATGCGACATAAGCTCGGTTTAGGGTTTAGGGGTTTAGGGGTTTAGGGTTTAGGCCTTAGGGTTTAGGGGTTTAGGGTTTAGGGCTTAGGGTTTAGGGGTTTAGGGGTTTAGCGTTTAGGGGTTTAGAGTTTAGGCTTCAGAGCTATTTAGGGTTTCATAACATGTAGGGGCCTTAATAATTAGAATCGGGTTTTGGGGTCCATTATGCTATACGTACTTATAATAAGGAACCCACCCCAAATAACACTGGTAATTCTTTAGGCCCCTATATGCAGGGGCTCTCTGGTTCAACAGCGATAAACTTGATGAGGGAGCGACTCCCAAAGTTAGGAAAAGACAGATGATCGCACGGCTTTAGGATTTAGGATTAGGAAGACCCTTGGGGATATGAACCTCTCATCGAGGTCCCTTTCTAAGAGAGAGCCATAAGTAGGGTACAAATGGGTTCCTTTTTAAGGGGTCTCCCTAATACTACCTAGGAGGAAACAAAGATGATCGCACAGCTTTTCCCAGGGGCACCCTAAACCCTAAACCCTAAACCCTAAACCCTAATCCGTGGCTCTGAGGGCAACCCAGGTGCTGCAACTGCACGTTCACCATGTGCAGGCCCACCTGCCGCGAAGGGTGCCAATATAGGGGTTTAGGGTTTAGGGTTTAGGGTTTAGGGTTTAGGGATTAGAATAAGGTGTTGGGGCCCGTTATCCTTTATTTGTAAGCAGGACCACCCAAAAAAACAAGTAGTACCGGTAATTATTTAGGCCCTCACATGAGAAGGAATATGAGAAGGATTACGATGAGGATGACGATCGGGGCTACAAGAAGGGCTCCGTCAAGTCTTTGCATACCCTGGCGTGGCCATAACATATCTAGCAGTCTAAATATCTGGGGACGATGGGGGAAATCTTAATACTTCCAAGCCCTTTGTTCCCTAAACCCTAAACCCTAAACCCTAAACCCTAAACCCTAAACCCTAAACCCTAAACCGCTCAATAATTGCCCACCCTAGGCCCTAAAACCCTACAACCTAAACCCCTAAACCCCAAACCCAAAACCTCAAAACCCTAAACCCTCAAAACCCTCAAAACCCTAAACCCTCAAAACCCAATCCCTTTAAAGGAACCCTAGAGATCCCCAATTGCCCTAAACCCAATCCCTTTAAAGGAACCCTAGAGATCACCAAGTTGCCCACTAAACCCTCCTTCCTAACTATAAAGACCCTACATTCTACTAGATCGGTACATTGGACCCTCAAGGCCTTCAGCGCATCTCTACACCCCAAATTGCCCACGCTGCCTGTTGGATTAAAACCCTAAACCCTAAGCTAAGCCCTCAGCTAAGCCCTAAACCCTAAACCCTAAACCCTAAACCCCACACCCTAAACCCCACACCCTAAACCCCACACCCTAAACCCTAAACCCTAAACCCTAAACCCTAGAAAGCAGAGATCCCCAATTGCCCACACTGCCTGTTGGATCAACTTCTCGACCTCGGGCAGCTGCAGTTCCCAGGAGCTCCCCTCGGCGGCGGCCTTGGGTGCATTCCGTTTGGGGTTTGGGGGTTTAGGGTTT